GCTGGTGATCAACCAGATTAGCCGAGCGCAGGCGGGGCGGAGTTAAAAATGGAGCCGTCAAGCCGGACACTTCGGTACTCAAAGTTGGTCCTCATTCATTCATTCATTCATTCATTCATTCATTTATTAATTTATATCAACAGAAGATTTACAGTACAAGTAAAACAGAATACAGTTTCTACAAACTAGTTCATTTTTAAACAATAAGGGAATTATAAATTAAATAGAAAACAAATGCATGAGAGAAATAAGAGGAAATGAGAGGGTAATAGAAAAATGAATAGGCATATTAAATACAAAAACAATAAGCACAAACTGCAGGAATTAACATCACTCTTTAGGCTAATACTTCTTGTTTGAATATGCTAAAAATGGGTTTACATTTTTAGGTATAAAACTTTCCAATATATATTAAAGTAAAACCCAAAACAAGGTGTTTTGATTAAGTCTTAAACTATAATCAAGATTATTTTGGATAATGAAAGCATTTTCAAAAAAGCACTTAAATCCAAAAAGATTGAACAAAAGCTACAGTTTAAGTGGAAAGAGCAAGGTATATGCTACATCAATGTGACTTTTGTTTATTTATTTCTTTTTCACTTTATTTATAGAAGTTTTTGTAAAAAGATAACACCAAATAGTGTACATCATGTATTTATGTTAATAAACTTATCTCTGTGTTATTACCTTATACTAACTAGAACATATGCGTCAAAATACTAGCAAACAATACAGCAATTACACAGCACCATCAAAAAAATAAATAAAGAAATCTCAGCCAGACTGATGAAATAAGAAACAAAATAGAATGACATGTAAAAAGGAAGTGGAGAGAAGAAAAAGAAAATTTTACCAGAAAAAAATGATTACAGAAACATTATTAACCTATACATCTAAGGAAGGGGTCCCATATTTTGTCATACAACTTCTGTTTGCCAAATCTAGAGAAACGTAAACTTTACAAATTGAGGGCAGAAACCATTTCAGCTAACCATTTAAAAAGAAAAAAACTGGAGGTGTTGTGTATTTCCACTCCATCAGAATCACTCTTGGCCAGCACCATGCCAAACATAAGGAAGAGCTGTTGGTGTAGGCCGAGTTAGAGCCTGGTCTGACCATCCAAACAATGCTATTTCCACATCAGTTTTAATGTCCATTTCAAACGCCTGGGAGTAAAGTCCCAAGATAATTTTCCAAAATTCAGATACTTCTGGAAAGGTCCAGAATATATGACCATAGGTTCTGACTGCGCCTTTGCATTTATCACACAGAGGAGAGATAGAAGGATACAGCTTATTTAGTGTGGCTTTAGTATAAGGCAATCTATGCATCACTTTGAATTGTATAAGCTGTAGTCTTACATTTATAGAACAAGAATGAATAAGACTCAGTCCCTCCTCCCAAATAGAGGATGAAATGTCAATTCCTAATTCCCTCTCCCAAGAATCTTTAAGGTGTGCAGTAGAGACTGAAACGTGAGAATATATATATAGATGAGCAATATATATATATATAGATGAGCAATATCAAACGAGTAGCAGTGCGATATGGCTGTATATCGGCACTGGTGGGAGGCGTGCGTTGGCCTTAGTGCCCCCACCAGTGCCAATATACAGCCATATCGCACTGCTACTTGTGTGATATTGCGTTTATACAACAGTTTGACGGCATAATTGTGTATATGAAAACAAAATCAAACATGAAGAGTCTCACAAACCCTTTTGTATGAGGAACTATTTTCTTCTGGATTCAAATCATAAGCTGACAGTTGAAAAGCTGAAAGATGCAGTTGAGCGTGCATCTTTTAAACTTTAGATCTGTAGTGTCTGCTTTTTGCTGGCTGTATGTGGGCGGAGTAATACACAAAGGGTAAAGAGGCTGTAGGAGTTCTGATATTGCAGAATATTGCACGGCTATCAGCCAATCAGATTTGAGAACCAGACAGAACTGTTGTATATATATATATATATATATATATATATATATATATATATAAATACACACATTGTTGTAAAACTGTCCTACAGTAAAATACAGTTCATATTACAGTAAACACTCTGTAATTTACAAAAATCGTTAACAGTGCATAGATAATTGACATCATTCTTTGAGGTGAGAACACTGATATATTGATAGCCAGAAATCATTTTGATGGTAACTTGAGAGCTGTTCAAAGTCATCAAACTGGATTGTCATCTTTCTGGTTTGAAAAGTCTCGCATTTCACTGAATAATTATCCTCACTGTAACACTTTCCCAACAGAGACGCTTGATTTATAGAGCGATATGTTAAATGAAGCTCAGGGATTTTGTTGGTATTTGTTTTATTGGATTTTTTTTCAGCTGTTATTATGGCTTTGGTCAAAGATGCGAAGGTCAAATAAATTCAGGGGGGCAATTTCTGAAAGTGTACATGTCCTCAGGCCGCTGTGTTTATAATTCTGTGTGTATATATGTGCAGAAATGCCTCGGTTTTTATACAAATGGATTCTCTGCACGTCAAAGCGTCTGAAATCTATAAAAGATTCATTAGTGCTCTATTCCTGCTCCTGTGCTATAAAACATTCATCCCTCCCTCTCTCTCTCTGTGTGTGTGTCTCTTTCACTATAAGCAAACCAACAATACTTGGGTTTACTTAAGTATACACTTTTTTTTCTTTCTTTAATTTATCAGGCTTTGGTTGAATAAATATTGGGGCACAACAGCGCAATCTCATTATTTTGTGTACGTTTAAACAAGTGAATAATTCACACAAACTCATGATTTCATTTGTAAAGGAACTTTTTTAAAAGGAGGCATGCCCTCAAACCCCACCCCTAACTCTTATTGGTTTATGAGCAAATCATAGTAAGTGAAGTTTATTTATAAAGTAATTTCGAGAGGATCACGTGCTTATGATTGCTAGCGGCTGGATCCGCATTATCCATTACTCAATGAACCAATCAGACGACTCCTAAGCTACTACAAATACCCATACCACCGCTATCTTCGTTTTGAAGAATCTCTCCATCCACCCCTACTTCTCTTTCTTCCAAGATGTGTGACACCGTGCCCCAGTGCTTAGCACTGTTGACTCACAGCAAGAATGTCTCTGATTCCAGGCTTTAACAAACCAGTACTTGTTTCTGTGTGGAGTTTGCACTTTCTCCCTGTGCTCACGTGGGTTTCAACCGGGTTTCCCAGAGCTTCCACCGTCCAAAAACATGCAACTTAAGTTAATTGACTAATCCAAATCGGCACTATAGACATGCTCCTAGTTAGTAGTTATCTCTTAAGAACAATCACTATTAAATAATATTTGACTAGATATTTTTCAAGACACTTCTATACAGCTTAAAGTGACATTTAAAGGCTTAACTAGGTTAATAAGGTTAACTAGGCATGTTAGGGTAATTAGGCAAGTTATTTAGCCCCTTTCACACAGTGATACCGGTAAATATCTGGAAATTTTCTGGAACGACTTTACCGGTATATTGAAAAAAGCGCTGTTCACACAGGCGAGGACGTTACGGAAATTTTCCGGAAAAGAGCATTCACACATCCATTCCAAAATACCGGTAAATTCTGACATCATTCACCACAAATGAGCTTTAAACGGCTGCGCTTGTATTTGTAAACATTTGACTAAATTACAAACTCTGTGGATGATCAATATTGTGAACAACTTTCGCAGGATCACTTTCGCATGTCGAGATGTTCATATTATCTGCGTGTGCAGGCGCTCATATGCGCACGCAAAGCTTAAAGGTAAACAAACAACGGCTTATCATAAGCATCTCATCGATGATTATTTACACAGTTGGCATTAAGAAGAACATACAAACGTAATCTGACTAACTTCTAGCAGCTAAATGTGTGTGGAAAAATATTCAAAGGCTTTTATCCTCACAAACCGCGCGGACGTAAATGCGTCTGACTGTTGTGATTGGCTAAAGCAGACGTCTCACGTCAGCACGTTCTAGACGTGCACGCGCTTATTACGGGAATCTTCCTTCTGCATTCACACAGCGCAGCATTCCGGCAAATTGCCGGTAATGTTACAACTTCTCTTTCCGGAAAATAGGCAGAACGAATTTACCGGTATTTTCAAAAAGGACCTGTTCACACATACAACCGTTCCGGAAAATTGCCGGCAATTTTCCGGAAAGGTCTGTATGTGTGAAAGGGGCTATTGTATAACGATGGTTTATTCTGTAGAATGGTTTTTTTTTTTTTTTTTTTTTTTAATTAAACACTGCTTGTATTCTATTGTCGAATTAAAGATAATAAGACTTTCTTCGGAGGATAAAATATTATCAGACATACTGTGAAAATTTCCTTGCTCTATCAGGCATCCTGTGTGAAATATTTAAAAAAGAAAAGAAAAAAATCAAGGGAGGGCTAATAATGCTGACTTCAACTGTGTATTTTTTTTCTGTTTTCTTTTTATTGTGAATGTTCCAGTTATTTTATTGTGTTTTGCAATTTGTAAAATATACTTATTATCTATTTATGTATTTGTTTGTTTGCTATTTTTAGTTAATCATAGATTCATTCATAGTAGTATATTGTTTTGACACTTTTCCATATTTATATCTTCGTTTAGGTTTAAGAATAACCACATACCTAAATGTTTCAAATGTACGTAAATGTTGTATTATTTAATGTCAATTGTTAATTAAATACTGTCAAAAATAGTGAATTATTATATAAAAAGAAAGCTTGACAAATGAGGGGAGTTATTTAGATCCTATTTATTCATCCAGTTTCTTGTTTTTTCTCTCAAAAAATTAAAGTACTTGTGATGTTTTTATGCTAATAGTACAAATTAGCATAAAATAATTGTTGATTAAAATAAATATTAAAATATATTTTTTTAAAAAGCCCCTCTCTCTCTCTAAACACACACATATACACCCCCCTTTCTCTCTCTCTCTCTCTCTCTCTCTCTCTCTCTCTCTCTCTCTCTCTCTCTCTCTCTCACACACACACACACACACACACACACACGAGCACGGCGCCACAGCCTCTTTCCGTTCCTCCCGCGCGGCTGCACGGACACTCGTACCGTTGGAATACTTTCTGCGTTCACCGGAAATGTGGCGTACAGCCGATTTGGATTCACCCCGACTGTAGTTCATCCCCGCTCCCAGTGTGACTTTCGCCAGCTCTCGTCAATCCTCCGGGCTGCTCCGTTCGCGTCGGCAGCGAGACGCAGATCTCTTGAGTTTGGATGTTACTGTGATTGTGTCTCTGCCCAAATGACTGAGAGAGGAACCACCGGGAGACGCTGCTCTCCGTCCCGCGCCCGCACGGCCACCGTCGGGTAAAGTTTGACCGGCAGGGATGACGGTGGTTCATCTTCCGTGAGATTTGCAAATTAATTTAAATTTACAACAGTGAGGAAAAACACCGTGTTCTCCAGTTCAACGGGGACCTCTTTCTGGGATTTACTTATTTACTGGATTTATTAATAAACATGAAGACCTTAATCGTGGAGGGTAAGTGATATAGATTATTTTTGTGTAAAAAAAAAAAAGTTATATCTGTCAATTTCGCCATTGTTTGTTTTATATAGTTTAACTGCCGCATCCATACACTGAAAAAAATGATTTAGCCCTCTATTAAATCAAACATAATTCAATTTAGTTTATTTTAAACAATTTAATTTAGTTGTTGATTTTATTAAATTATTTTTAATCGGTTTTAAGTGAATTAGATGTGTTTTAAACCAATCTAAATTAATTAATTAAAGTCTATTAGAAAAAATTATGTTAGCTTTGTGCGCATGCGCATTATGTTCCGTTGCCTCGGCGCCAAAGCCCAAAGGAAGTTTTACAGAATCCAGTCAGATTGAAGCAAGACGCCAGAGCCGGAGTTTTGTACATCCATTTGCACAGTAAGTCACATTTTATATTGTACCAGACTGTTTATTACATAAAAAACTTTGTGGGTAACATAGACGCATAAAATGGTCTCTCGTTCGGACTGTCTATTTTGGTCGTTTTTAAATTTCACGGCGACCAGCCGTCGAGCGCGCTCGCAAGTTAAGCTAACAGTTAACGTTACACACGGTTTGACAAATCTCGCTTTTATGTCGCAGAATATATTAAAGATTCTTTTTAGCAAGAATGTAGTTATGTAGACTTGATATATAATATTTTTAATGAAGTGAATGGCTATTTTCAAGAGAATAAGCATTTTCTTTGGTGTGACGACAGTGTCCGTGATCCGCCATTCCAAACGAAAAAAGCTTCGTTGCTAACGTTAGCTCAGTCCTTTGTGAATTTACCGTGGCTTTTACTATGGTTAACATTAAACATGCGTTTAGATAACGTTAGTTGTGAACGGACAGTACCATACTGATTTTGTTATAGAACGATTTGGTCTGGCGTTAGGGCACTACTGACTGTCTTAGGAGGTTGTCGAATGTGTGCCCATACTGGCGTAACATTAACTTTTAACGTAAAGGGCGTCCATTTATACAGTTCTTTATTTTTTTTTTACGTGAGATGCTGTAATTATGTCTTTGGGTTATAATGCTCTTAATGGGCTAACTTATATTCACAGCAAGTGTTTATCAGCCACCGATAAACGTCCAGCGCAAGGTTAACTTAATGTGACTTTTTCCATATTCATAAAGTGCCTTTTACATCAACGATAATGTAATTTAACTAAAATAATATTCTTTAAATAAGCTGAAGCAATCCTTTAGTTGTTCAAACGTAAAACACATGCAGACGAGTGCTACGTTAAAACTTCATGGAAAATATTGTGGTTAAAATAAATTGACATATTTTTAAGACATGGCGTTGAAGAATGGAATTTAATGCAGTGCTTTGTCTGGTCTGAGACCCACTTTATATCGTATCAATCAGGCAGTGACGATTATCTTAATCATATTAATCACGTTCAGCAATTTGTTCAATAAGTAATTTATCTTAATGTTTCCTAATATAATTAATCGGTAAACAATATGTTGATTAAGAAGTTGGTTGTGTTGTTACTTGTGCTGAATTTTGAACCTAAATGATAATCATGTGCTTCCTTTCATTTGAGGTACTGTACAACAAGTTTCCTTTGCTGAGTTCCTTGGTCAGGGGTTAAACACATTTTCTGTCCAGTACTGCAGTTGGAATTTTCCGTCAACATTTTTATGGTAAGTAACTGCAAAACATTTATTACTACACATTACAGTAAATAGTTTCTTAACTGAATATGTTGCTCTGAAAAATCTAAATAGTCCCAAAAAAGGAAATTTACTCACTATTCACTCACCATGTTTCCATGGTTCCAAACCTTTGAGTTTCTTTTATCTGTTGAACACAAGACAAAATATTTTGAAGAGTGTTAGAAACCAGTAATCATTGACATTCATAGTAGGAAAAACATATTATGGAAGTCAATGGTTACCGGTTTTCATCATTTTTCAAATGATCTTATGTTGTGTTTATCAGAACAAAGAAACTCAAACAGGTTTGTGACAAGTGAAGAATAACTAAATGTTATTGTTGCTTCCCTAGTTTTCACAGTACTAGGGTGCAGTAAGAGCACAAACACAGAGTTCAACTTTGATTCAACTCCGTGATTTTCTCAAGAGAGCCGACCAAAATGTTTGACCTGCCATAAAATGATTCGACTATCTGCCGACCAAGAGAGGTTATTCACCTTTTTTTTCCTCCTGTACATTGCATCAACACAGCACAGCAAATATCAAAGTTGAAATTTAATTTGATTCAAAGAAGAGTCGCATCAGAATTTGGCTCAAAATTGCACAATGCACATTCGGCCTTAAGCCTGGTTTGTACTTCTGCGTTGAGTGATTGGCGTGACCTACGGCGCCTGCCCTGCGTGCAGCTGAGCACTTATACTTGTGCGCGCTGTTTGTGTTGTTCTACAATAACACTTACAAAAGCAGTAGGTTTATATGTTCCCTCTGTATGGAGTTTCTTCGCTTGGGTTTTGTTTTTTCTGAACACTACCTTAATGAACAAGAAGATAAAACTCGCTCATTCTGAGGCGGGAGCCGGCAGTCATGCAACAACTTTAATCATAAGGTAAACACAAAGCAACAGTTTCCACCTGGAGCTATTTCATGGGACTCTACACTTGTAAACACTCGCTCCAATGGGTTGGCGTGGCTCTCAACCCCGCCCACACACGTAAGCGCTACCAAGCCCACTAATAGAGCGTGCGCTACGTGTTGTTGCGATGTGTAGTTACATTTTTGGAGAGATGCGCCACGGCAAGGGCTATTCGACTGCGCGCAGGCTGCGCCGCACCATACACGTGCATTTGATGCAGAAGTATAAATCAGCCTTTACATGTCTTTATCTTGGCTGAACATGGTAAATTACAAGGTAGTCAAAAAAAGAAATCACTTTAAATGTAGTGTAACTAAACAAACTATTCACAAGTAAACAGTCAGTTGATTAAATAAATTTGAGTATCATTATAAATGTAATATACATGTAAGGGACAATCGTCAGATTTAGGTGTGTTAAAGGATAAGTGCACAACATCGAGGCAAAGTTTAATGTTTAGATTATTACTGCAAGTTGAAATTTAATATAGTTTTAATTTCTAAATATAACATTTTAAAAATAAATATATAGGCTATGTTCTGAATAATGCTCATGTCTATGCTTATCATGCCACAAACATACTTATATTCTATGTATTTGACGATGCAGTCAATGCATGCACTGAAAAAAATATGCTTATAGGCTACCTTTACCTGCAGGTTTCGCTAGCTGGGCAAAACTTAGATAGGCTATTAATAATGGATATACATTAAATATGTATAATTTTATTTGTGAAAGCAAGAGAGAAACTTGTGGGAGTGCTGTAATAAAGGAGTCTCAAATGACTAACAATTGTACATTACGGTAACGTGTTTTATTCCGGACATGGCATATGACATAAATAATCGATAACATTTGAGCTGGTTTCAGTTATTAATTCTTTTTATTTTTAAAAATATATTTATTTAACAGGTGGCGCAGTGGGAAGTGCTCTCACCTCACAGCAAGAAGATCGCTAGTTTGATTCTCGACTGGATCTGTTGGCATTTCTGTGTGGAGTCTGCATGTTCTCCCAGCGTTCGCATGGGTTTCCTCCGGGTGCTCCGGTTTCCCCCACAAGTCCAAAGACATGCGGTATAGGGGAATTGGGTAAGTTAAATTGTCGTAGTGTATGTGTGTAAATGAAAGTGTATGGATGTTTCCCAGTGATGGTTTGCAGCTGGAAGGGCATCCGCTGTGTAAAACATGCTGGATAAGTTGGCGGTTCATTTCGCTGTGGCGACCCCAGATTAATAAAGGGATTAAGCCGAGAAGAAAATAAATTAGTATTTATTTAACTTAATGTTAATATAACACTACTGATGATTTTTAGCTGAATCTGTGGTACATGGTGATTCAAATAATGGCAGCGAATGAGGATGGGTTTTTCAGTTTAAGAATAAAGTCCAAATCTAAAGCCATGGCTCCTGATGAAGGTCCTGTAAAGTGAAACGATTGGTCTGTGTAAGAAATTTAACATTATTTGCAATATTAGCATTAATCCACGGCCTGGTCAAACAGATGGTTTTTGGGTTGTGAGACGTAGTTTAGACGAAGTTGTCGGCGATTCTTCCTATTGTAAAGTCATGCAATGTTCAAGTCCCTGTCGCCGATCCATCTTGCAGTGAAAATAAAGCAGCAACGACTACTTTCAAAATCATGCAGTCTGAACTCGGCATTAGTTAATGATTAAACTTAGAGACCTGGATATCGACACGTCTCTCTGCAACTGGATTATGTACTTTCTGACTAAAAGACCTCAGAATGTTAGATCAGGCCACATCTGCTCCACCATCTTCACACTTAACCCTGGTGTACCACAGGGCTGTGTGCTGAGCCTCTTCCTCTACTTCTTTTTTTACTATCAACTGTAGGCCTGTGAATAGATCCAACATCATCAAATTTGCAGATGACACCACAGTGATTGGTCTAATCAGCAATAATGATGAGACGGCCTACAGGGAGGAGATACATCATCTGTCCACTTGGCCACTACCAAGCCGACCAATCACAGAGCTTGCGCTACGCGTCGTTTCGATGTGTAGTTACATTTTTTGAGAGGTACACGTCAGCGACGCCGACGGCCACGGCGAAGGGCTTTGCATCAGCGCCGTAGCATTGGCGTGCGTTTGACGCAGAAGTATAAATCAGCCTTAAGGAACAGCACTTTCCTCAGAGCTGTACCTTTTTTAACTCTATCCCCCACTAATTATTTTGCCCTCCTAATACACCCCCACTGTCCTCATAACTTGTACTCCTCATTATCATTGCACTATTTAACATTTGCACATTTAAAAATTACACATTCATTGCACTACATTAGACTGATTCATTCATTTGAACTATACATATACTGTACACTTGTAATTGTTTATCTATCTGTACACTTCTGATTATTAATAGCAACCTGTACATATAATAATTTATTTTAAATCTCT